GATTTGATAACAGGGACAGTTAGACATAAGACCGGCATTGCATACTTTTTTTTATCTCAATCGACCACATATTGAAATTTATGTGCCCTAATCATATAAAAATTGTCTTTTAGGAATTTCGTTTTTCACCTTAGAAAAACTGTATTGTTCAGTTTTAGGTTCCAATGGTAAAGTAAAGGTCAAAAGCGAAATAAGAGTAATAAATAAAAATTACAATATCACGTTTTAACTATTTATCAACGTTTCGAGCGTTATCGAAGTATTCTTCTGGGCTTCGAAAAGACCAAAAACAACGGTTCACACCAAACAATGATAAAACAACGAACCACAGTTACACATGTTAAGGAGGTAAGGAAATTAACATTTAGCTTAACTACAAAACAAACATACAAATTATGAATTCATAAATTTGCATGGAAAAATCTACCTCAAATTATGTGTGAACGTTAGGTCTATAAATGTTAATTCAAGTGAATTCTGCAGGTACTTCTTAGTTAAACTATAAAAATGTGTTTTTACTCAAAATTTCTTCAATGCCATTGAAACCATAATTTGGGATTTTGATATAGTCAAACCATTTACAATTCGCATTCCAAATAGTGTAGGTTGTTGCCTTCCCTATCCACAAATATGAGCAGAAGATGTATTTGAATGGTGCTAAAACTACAGGAAAATCAATAAAATTTATTGTTGCTACAATCATTTTTCAAAATTATACTCTTCTGATATCAGGCCCAAATGTGCTGCATCTTTAAAAAAAATGTTTAAATGAGTTTTTGCCTTCTACAAGTGCATTAACCAGTATCTACAACTTTTATAGCAGTTCTGAAACTTACAGAATGTTGCATCAAATGAAACCCGGTAATATGAAAATGAGTGTCCACTGCGGAATAAACTGTTTCTCTAAAACAGCGACAAACGTTTGAAATTAATAATCTTCCAAAGTTTGTCGCAGCCACGCCGGTCATCTTAACTGTAAGATTTCATGTTGTCTTAACGAAAATACACGACCCAAACTTAATATAAGATATTTGCATTTATATAGAGTTATGGACGCCTTAACGGGTCCCGTGTATACGCTTAATATTAGTTTATCTATCCTCCAGTTTACCCTAGTCATGTATATATGGCCTCAAGTTTGTTTATTTATAGGAACTTTGGGAAAGCTTGGCGCATCCAGATAAGAAAGTTTTGGGGCCGATCTTTAGTTATGTACGGGTCCCCCAGCACCTTACACTCCTCGCCTAATGTTTAAACTTAATTTCAGAGACATGTCGCCTTCGTGGGAAGGCGATAAACCTTAATTGGGATGCTTTTAATCTACGGCTTAAGGGGTTTGCTGTCTAGAATTTCCTTCATCGGGTTAAACTCACCATTTCGAAAAAGAAACACGCATGTGACGAAAAAGACCTAAGGTTTTCATGCCCAAGTTAATGTTATGTTTAGGAAATATCGCTGAAAGCATTATTTCTGACGAGCTTAAATAACATTGAAATCAAAGTTACTCATCCCAAATGCGCCTAATTACGAGATAACACTTTTTATGTTTTTAATTGAGAATCATCCAGCTTTAAATGCTTGCTACTAATGGTCAAATTATCCAATAGAAGACGTTGTTGCCTGTAAATTTACTCCAAAGCTGTAAAATTCCGATTGACCGAAACTTGCCAATTTTCCATTTCCCTCTCAGCCTTTAAAGTACTAAAGGAAAAAAGACAACAATAAATAGACAATTTCCATGGCGCAAGGCAAGAAACTCCAACACCACGTACCTGTTTAATATGTATAAACGCAAGGAAATATCGGAGATAAGGAGGAAGCTGGGCTCCTATTCGCCTAGGAAACGCCCCCCTCTAGCTGTTTTTACTTCTCCTTTTTGGGGCTCGTTAAGAAGGAGAAGGGAACAATCGATACCGCGCCGCATTGTTAGAGAGTTAATTAGGGTTATTTTCAATTTAAGGAACGAAATTCGGCGGGACCGATGTGCGGCAGCTCAAGATTGATGAGCTTTGAAAGTTCCTTAAATTGAAACGAGTTTTAGAGAACATTTCGAAGGAACTTCAATCTTAATAAATTTCAGACCGGGTAAAAACAAGCGAGAAGAAGTAAAATGTCTGATTGATGGAATTATGAGCATGATGAATAAAAAAACGTTAATTAATTGTAATTTTCCCAATTACAATTAGTTCCAACGTGGAAATTATTAATTTGAATAAAATTCTTTACGGTGTCCCAAAAGTATGTCCTATCTTTATCTTTGAGAATTCCTTATCGCAAGAACGACATGAATGCACGAATTCATTGAATTAATTCACTTGCATACAATTTTGATTGGAAATACGGCAGCACCAAATATCAACTTCACAAGACAATTGTGCCATTAATTAGATTTTAAAGTATCAAAACATTGAAAATCTTGCCGTTTTGGAAAAAGCTTTAAAGTATAATAATTTGATAGAGAAATCATCACCCGAAGAATCTGTTCATTCATCTGATTTAGATGGTTTCTGCGTGAAAAAAGTTTGAACAAGTGACTGGAGCTTTTGCACATTAGACAGAATAACGTAGAAACTTTTGAATGTCCCTTTGCTTATTTTCAAATATGAATTCAATGGTCGAAAATATTAATAATTACTATAAAATTAATACATATTTTTTCATTTTCTATAGGAAATAAGTCATCTTGCCTACTGGGTAACTAATAACATCTAAACCATTCTTTTTAAAAACTGGTAGCCAAAAGCATTTGCAGTCTTAAATCTATTTAGTGAATTGTTCATGTTCATGCATCCACAATGCAATTTGCAACTGCAAATGTTTAGCTTAACTTAGGCTTACGGCTTCATATTAGTTATAAATGTCTTTAAGACATTTGCCTAGAATAATGTTCTATAAAACAGCAATAAATATGGTGGCTCAAAATTTTAAACTCGTTTGTCAATAGTCACATTTCTGAGCTTTACAGTTTTCAAATTATACCACTTTGAAGTATCTTCAACTTAGTTAAATAGTCTGAATTTGGCGATAGTCAATATCATTGAGAAACATCCTATATATCTCAATGTAAAGACATTGTGTCATTAGATAAATCCAAAAATACACTGGAATTAATAGATTTTCTATTAAATATTTCACGCCCATAGCTAAATCTTATTTGATTTTGTTTAGGTGATTTTCGTGGATCACCACATATAAATATAAATTTTAGTTACTGTGATTTTTACAAAACTAAGCAAAAATACATACTTAATTGAAGTAAAAAATACAATTTAAACATCGCACATTTACACATTGTTGAATTGTTGCATCTTGATGACTTCTAAATATTTCCATCAGAAACATAAAGGAAACATTCAATTAAATGACAAATTCATTTATAAAACAATAGACACGAAAGTTAATATGAGTATTTAATTAACAAAATACACGACTTTTTATATCGTCGTTCTCAGATTTCACACATTTAAGAAAGAAATAAGGGCGCAACCTTCGTCTATGCTCGACAAAAACTGAAGAAAGAAACTCTTTTAAGCAGCTGATGTATGTTACATTTAGTTATTAGGGCAGTTGTTTACTTAATTTGGTGTATTAAAGCGGATTAAATCGGTTCTAAACCAAAGCAACTCATTTTACCTACCAGAGCAACCATCTTTTAGACTCAATGTACTCAACAACTAGAGAACAATTAAGAACAATATACTAATTAAAACTGTACAAT